GTTGTGTGGGACAATAGGAAGAAGGACAAAATTAAACTTCAGTGCAGACCAATTGTTGATGTGTGTTTGGGTGTGTCTGTGCCTGTATGTGCCTTTTGCATGATAATTTATGGTTATTTTTATGCAAGCAGACTCTGTATGGGTATGTGTCTTCAAGCTGCCTGTCATCGTTTGCTGACTCCATGAATTTGGTAAGATTTTCTTAGGAAAGGAATACTCAGAGGTGATTTTACCAGTTCCTTCCTCTGAAATATAGCCTATAGCACCTGGTATTCATTGGTGGTCTTCCATCCAACTACTAACCAGGGCTGACCTGCTTAACTTCCAAGATCCAATGGGATTTGGTGCCTTCACGGTATTTAAACACTGACAAAAAATGAAATGTGAAACATATTGGATACTGTGCAGTCTGTGCCACTTGTTAGAACAAATATCTGTCACAGATCCTACTTTTAAAAAAAACCTTCCAATCTGGATGCACCCTCAGGGCCTATTTAGTCTGATTAAGGATTCTGTGTGAGAACACAACTCTTTGTGAAATCATTAAAGTGCTGACATTTTATGAAGTCTTCTCATCTGATTGCAGCACAGGGGGACTTACTTTGCTGAATATTATTGGCTGTAAATTCAGGGGCAGTGACAGGCTCAGCTATAGAAATAAACTGCTGGAAAAGAGCCAAATTCAAAAGCTGGGCTTAGATATGTTAACTCTTAGGGGGCATTGGTTCATTCTGCCTAGGGGAAGAATGCAAAAGCTTCATTGCAGGAATCTCATGTCTGAAAGCAGACATCTGGATATAAAAGGAGTCCCTTGTGTGTTTCCTTGTAAGTATAATCTCTCCATTCCCATTAGCTGAGTCTGGAGCACATTCTCAAAAACAGTGGATATGGCTACTTTTCAGGGTAGACATTTAGTTTGTGGTCATTGTTTATATAGAGAGAGGTGGGACGCAAGGAGAGAGAGAGAGAGAGAGAGAGAGAAGCCAAGTTGGATAACAAAAATGGATAGCCCTATAAGCAGTTATTTAACAATGAATGAATAAATATAGGATTGGCCAGATGATCACTTTGAATTGCAATTCCTTACGGTTATTTTTGGTTTGTAGTTGTTTTCTATGTAAATTTTACCATTTCAATTTCCATTTTTGATTTTTTTTTAAAAAAAACATTCAGTATCTCCATAGTACAATTCATTTATAGTTTTATAAAATTTAAAAAATAAAAGCCGCCATAATAGATGCTAGATAGTGGAAGTCCAAATTCAAAATGGATTTGAAGATAGAAAAATAACGAATTAGTTTGGAAGGCTCCAATTAATTACAAGTTCAAATTTGTCTCAATGCTTCTTCATCAAATCTAGTTGGTGAAAATGAGCATTCCTCCCATATACAGGCATGTGAGTATTTCTTGGAGTTTCAGTGCAATACTTTCAAATCTATGTATGCAATGAAGCAATTGCTGTTCAGAAAGCATGCAGAAGGAACTCATATCTTCTTCCCTTTCCAACTCCAGAAGTGGTCGCTTTTTCCTCCTGCCACCTCACAGAAACTGTGTGTGAATAAAATGATGAATTTGTTAGTTTTGGGTTCTCTAACTCCCTCCTTTTAGGCTACTTCTTTTAAGCCATCTTTAGGCCATTCATTCTCTTTCCATTTTAGTTTGAGAATTTGTTTTTAAAAGTCTACATTAATATTTGTGTGCATTTCTATACATTTCTATGCAATTTTGCCAAATATATGCTTTTTCAAGCCCATCGTGGCACTGCCTTTCCCTGGTGGTAGGTTTTTGTGGTTCTGTGGGGCAAGAGGCTATGGTGCTGGTAGGGTATCCCATGGCAGACAGGCCTTTGCTGAGGAGCCAGACTAAATGTGCCAACAGCTACTGGGCAGCAGCAGTAGTTTGGAGTGACATTGGTGAAAGATCTCTCAGAGGCAATGGTAGTGGCATCACAACTAATACTTATTAGTACTTTATAGAAGGAGACACCAGTAAACCTACTTTTGAAGATCTTTTACCCTATGATGAGACAATAAAAAATGAAACGAGAGATGTGTCCCACCAATGGCACTACCTTTCCACATGGTGGGATTGCATGCTCCTTTGAGGCAAGAGGCTGATGCTACTTAGGAGCCAGACTAAATGTGCCAAGTAGCTACTGGGCAGCAGCATGAGCAGCATAGCTAACACTTGTAAGTACTGTACAGAAGGAGGCACAGTAAACCCCTCTTGAATATCCTTTACCATGAAGAGCCTATGATGAGACAATCCAAAATGAAACAAGAGATAGTGTCAGAAGATGACATTCTCTGGTTGGAAGGCATTTGGCAAACTATTGGGGAAGAGGATGTGAGTAGCGCTACTTCTAATGATTTTTCCCCAAGCAGTTTTCCTAAAATAATACAAATTCTATATTATTTCATTAACATACATGTAATTGTTCCAAATTGTTGTATTTTTGTAGGCATTTTTTGTTCAAATAATTGCAAACCAAAACACTGGAGAAGTGTGAATAGTAAAAGATACCTGCATTTTGATTCATGTTTTGATTTCAAAGCATAAACTGTATTTTACAAATTTCTCTCTCATTTCTAGACATTCCCATCTCTATCTAGCTTTTGTAAAGAAAGAAAAAAGGTTCTTTTTTTTTTTTTGACAGTATGAAGTGTGGCAGAATTTGCTGTTGACCTCTATGTGTTTGGCAGGAAAAACAAAATGAAGTCTGCTGAACAGAAAGAGTACTTACCTATTTTGGTCTTGGGGTCATATGCTGTTGATCCAGTGATTTACTTAAGAAAGAATTACCTAAGAGATCCACGAGATGGTGGTGTTCATTAACATTCAGTGATCATTCTAGCTCACCCTGTAAATGCCTGGATTATTCTTTGTTAGCAACATTCTGCCAAAAGGAAAGAAAAGCCTTTTACACTTTGTTCGTTTTTTTAAAAATAATAATTCTGAAGATGGGGAGAGGGAGACATGAATGTACATTTCTTCAATATTATTTCATAAAGCAACTTTTTAGGAAGGAGTTGTTTTTAAAGAAGGAAAAATTGTTATGCCTGAAATGAATTAACCAATTTGTAAACATGACACTTCCTGTATCTTCATCTTTAAAACATTAGCCTGTGGGGCAAATGATTAGCATTTTCCCTTGACACTGGCACAGAAACCTTAGCTGGCTTGGCCGCACCAATGCATGCTTTGGCTGTGGCAAGAAGTTCATTTTAAATGACTGCACATTGTTAGAAAGGACAAGCACTGCTGAGGGAAGACAGACGTGTGGAGAGAGCATTAATGTGTATATAATATATTTGTAGCTCACTTAATAAGGGAGACAAACAAGGCTACCTTAATCATGGGAGCTGGTCTAGGGAGGCTAAGGCAAGCAAGTAGCGCACCCTGCTGTGACAATGTTTTCAGAAAAGTGCTCTGAACAGAAACATTACAATGACTTGTCAATATTGTTCTTTCAGAGAAAATAACAGCATTCATGCATTTTGTATAAGGGAGGTAGATCAAACAGATGATCAAAGTCATTTTATTATGTATAAGCTCTCCTTCTGTGTTGTTTTTAATGTCAGATGCTCAGGCATTTGAGAACAGGCTAATTTGCCCACACTTATGATCAGTGCCATTGTTCTGTGCCATCAAGGAAGCTATCAAGTCTTTTAAGGTTGTATCCTGCCCATTTCTGTCACAGCCATTCAATTCTGTGGATCTTTTTCAGCTTTTTAATCAGAGTCCTTAAAACAAGGCCTTGTGTCATGGATCCCAGAACAGGGGGGCAGTGAGAGATAAAGGCATCCCCACGACTAGGCTGGTGGGGGCTGAGCCCTTCTGAAATTATCATACAAAAGTGGGCCACCAAGACTCCTATATAATTAAGCCTCAGGCATTATTATTCAGAAGTGTACTAAATGATTTTTATTTTTCAATTACTTTTGTGGTATTTGGATTACGACCAGCTTTACTTGGATAATGATGATGATGATGATGATGATGATTTTTTTTCTAATGCAACCTTGGCCTGAAACACATGGGCCAAATAAGGTGACTTCCGTTCACTTTTGGGGCTGTGGTGTTTACATGAAGCCACTCTGAGGCTGCACTAATGGGGAGAAATCCACCCCAAAAAAGAGCAGATATAATCCACTCCTGCTGATGGCTGGCTTGGAACGGTGGTGGCAACCCACTTTGGAAGCGGGGCATGTAGTTGCTGCTGTCCCATGTCAATTGTGGGTGGATGGGCTCCTTCCAGGTCAATTGTGGGTGGATGGGCTCCTTCTAGGCCATCTGTTCTGGGCCCTTTTCTGTCTTTTCATTGTTTTATAAAAACATAGTTGCAAGAAGTCAAAATTAATAATGACATGCATGGCAATGTTGAGCCCACTCTCCACCTTGAAAACAATTCTGGGGTCCCTGCATTGCATTAAAGATCAAACTTTAATCATCTACTCATGTCTGCTCAGAGGTCAGTCTCAGTGAGCTCAATACACCTTACTCCTAGCAAAGTGTTTATTGAATTGCCACCTTTGTACCTGTTGTCATTCTATCGTTTTAAACCACCACTGTCTTAACTCCATGCTGTTTCTTCATGAAGGGGGCTTTTTCTTTTTCTGCAGAAAATGCTGAATTTGAACTGTCTCTGACAATTTTATAGTGACACACAAGAGATAATTTGTTTTAAAAAGGTCTGTGCATTAGAAATACCTAGATGACAATTTCACAAAATGTTGCACTGAAATCTAGACTGATTCCATTGCCCTCTACTGTATGTACTCAACAGCGCATATGCAGTAATAGGCCAGTTATTTGTAGCATAGGCAGATGCCTGTTGAGCACTGCATCTTGCCTATTGCAAGAGCTCAGCTAAAATGAAACATCTCATGTTCCTTCTTAAACTCAGAGGTTATTTTAAAAGTGATCTTCATGTGGGCTGTGTTTCTGTGCATGTGTGTGTTTTCAACTAATGTTACTTGAATCAGTAAGATAGAAAGTGAGTCAGTGTGGTGTAGTGGTTAGAACATTGGACTACAACTGGGAGACCAGGGTTCAGTTCCCCACGTGGCCATGAAAGTCCAGTGGGTGACCTTGGGGAAGTCTCATTCTCTCAGCTTTGGAGGAAGGGAAAAGGCAAACCACTGCTAGACAAATCTTGCCAAGAAAACTTTAGGGTTGCCATAAGTCAGAAATGACTTGAAGGCACGCAACAACAACAATAACAACAACAATAAACAAGTAAAGAAAATGCAATATAAAATTGGTACATATAAAATATGAAACATAATTTTGGTTGCTTTTAATGTGAATTCCATAAACATAATCCTTTTAATGCAGTGTACATTCTAATTACTTGTGGCTATAAAGAAGCACTGATAAATGCCATCACAATAGGGCACTGGAGAATGAAATCAAGCTCTACAGCTGGCAAAAGTCCCTGTCCCCTGCATTAGATCAGAGTTGTGTGCTTTCATTTGTTTCCAGCAGAGGGCTAGAGCACTGAGGTACTGTTTATTTATTTATTTCCAGCCCCCCCCCCCATTAAAGGGACTTGAGGCAGTCTCACAGCAAATTTAAAACCATACAAATTAAAAACAATACAAAAACATTAGAAACTGTAAATATAACATTTTTAAAAAAGCATTTAACTATTTATAAAGTTAGCAACATTAAACATTAAAATATTAAAATGTATTTTGAAGACTCTATACAAATCTTAAAATCTTAATTGCACAACATTTAAAAGCCAGACCCTAATCAGTATGAAAAAGCTTGACAACATAAAGATACCTTATTTTCCTGTGTATAAGACTACTTTTTAACCTGCAAAATCTGTGGTTAAATGGGGGGGGGGTCGTCTTATACGCCGGGTATAAGGATAAGGAGGATGGAGGTGCTAAAACTCTATATTTTGACTGGGAAAATGGGGGGTCGTCTTATACGTCGGGTCGTCTTATACAGGTATTTTTATTTGCCACCAAAAGGAGAGCAGGGATGGGGCCATCCTGGCCTCTCTAGGGAAGGCGTTCCAAAGTCTGGGAGCAGCCACTGAGAAGGTCCTCTGTCTTGTTTCCACCGAATGAGCCTCAGAGGGTGGTGGGACAGTAAGAAGGTCCTCTCTGGATGATTTTAATGCTCTAATTGGCTCATGAAGGGAAAAATGGTCCTTCAGATAATCTGGTCCCAAACCGTATTATAATCTTATTATTATTTTGTGGCACTTTCTATGGACACTTTCACTTTGTTTCGTGGTGAGGCACACAGTATTTGGAACCCAGAATATATATAACAATAAACAATCAGAATGAAGGAAACTTAATTTAGTGATTTCATTGTTACTTGCTCAGTGTACAGAACAACGTTGCAGAGGCTTAGAAACCTTGAATTTCTCAGGCTCCTAGGAGGTTATAAGAAAGGGATTATTTGTGTGAGGGTGGGTGGGTGGGTTTCATTCCAGATTATCCTAATGCGTCTCTGAAATCATGTTCAGTTTGGAGTTGTTGGTGCAACTGAGAAGCTGTTCCCAAAACTGTCATCCAAGAATAGCTAGAAAAACTGTTGATAAAAATTTCACAAGCATGTGAAGCCAAAGGCTTTCATGGCCAGCATCCATAGTTTTCTGTGGGTTTTCTGGGCTATGTGGCTATGTTCTGGAACAATTTATTAATACATTCTTTCAGAATGCAGCCATATAGCCCGGATAACCCACAGAAAACTATTTCACAAGCACCTTTGTTGTACTGGAAAGACCTCAACAATGTTTTGATTGGAAACATGTACAAAAACATTAAAATAATCTAAATGATAAAAATTCTCCTTTAATGTGTGTAGGCAGTCTCCACACTAGTTCCACTGCATTTTTGAAGGGGTGTAAGAATTTCCTGAGGAATTCATACATCTGAATCTAGACCAAGAGAAAGGAAGATGGAAGAAAAAACCAAAATAGGCAAAGGAGGGAGCAGTAAAGCTGACAAACTGCTATTTTCTCTTCCTCTCCCCATGTTTTTTCCTTTCCTAATGAGGCACATCAATCCTAAGAAAGATTGCTCCCTTATAAACTAAGGTGATATGTCAGTGCAGTTTTGCACTGTTTGCAATGTTTTAATTTGTGGAACATTTCCAACTGTTGAGGTTCTGGCAGTTCTTAGTCTCATTTGTGAAAGTTTGTCATTTTTAATCTTTCCCCTTGATTTGGTGACTCCTGGTGCGTTGTTGTTGTTGTTGTTACTGTTGTTGTTGTTGTTACTGTTGTTGTTGTTGTTGTTGTATGCCTTTGAATTTTTTCTGACTTATGGCAACACCAAGGTGAACCTGTCATGGGGTTTTCTTGGAAAGATTTGTTCATCAGGGATTTTCCTTTGCCTTTCTCTGAAAATGAGAGAATGTGACTTGTCCAAGGTCATCCAGCAGTTGGGTTTCCATTGCAGAATGGAGATTCAAACCCTGGTCTCAAGAGATCTAGTCCAATGCTCAAATACTACACTATGCTGGTGCATAGAAGAATATAAAAATAAGAATGACAAATAAGATTTATGCGAAGGGTTAAGGTCAGGATAAGTACCATCCTGTTTTCTTTTCACAAGTGCGTGCGGTCTGTTGGAACTTTCCAATTGCAGAATTGACTATTTGATATTAATCTAACACGTGGCTTCCTCCTCCTGCACTTTTAATGATTTTCTCATTTGGACTGGAATGAGAAGCAGACTGCCACAGGCAAATCTAGCTATATTTGGGAAGCAGATGTACTATTGGCTTTTTTAGAATCCATGGCAGCTTTGTTCATAATCAGTTCTATTCAAATACAAGTTCATGGTTCTTGGTAATAAATTTCCTTGAATACAACTCAGCATGCTTCCCTTCTCCCCATGTGACTCAGCAGGGCTTTGCTTTCTGTAATTTTTTACACTGACCATTGTTTGCACAGTGCATGGGCTGAAATATTACTTATTATTTACATCAGTGGCTCCCCAGTGATTCCTGTTTGCTTTATTTGTAATTTTTGATGCACAGAAATTCATCATTGTGGTGGTACTCCTTCCCCTGCCCACCCGCCATAGCTTGTTTAGACCAAAGCTGCATGGCTGCCATTCAATTTTATCCTGGTTTCCTATTTAACTGGTGATCAAAGGGGCCTTATTGCTAATGTGACTTTATACTGCTATAGATCATATAGACTCGAGGGCAGTTAACAACAACCATAATTCAATTGGCCAGTGAGTGAATTATTGGACTTTGTGTGAGCTTTTTACCCAACAAGAGCTCCATAGTTGGTAGGAAAAGTTGCACATAGTAACAAAAAAAGTCTAAGGGCCAGTTCATACTACCTATTTCTTTCTTGAGACTATGGA